TTTCTTTAAAAAAAGGAAAAGAAACTTTCACACTGCACAGGAAAACAAAACTATGTAATTAAAAATAAAGAATTTAAGTCTGACTATTGTTACTTGAGCGACAGAAAAATGATCGAAGTAGTCTTTTCTTCTCGAGTAAGCTTGCTGGCCTTCTTTTTCCGAGAACGATTTAAGCGTACAAATGGTTCCTCCACTTAAGAGAAACACAAATATGGTTCTGCAAAGGCAATAAATCTGGGCTCTTAAAAAAATTATTTACAAATAACGGAATACAAGCGGTGCGAAAGAAGGCGAAATCAACTTACAAATAAAGCAAATGCACAATCAGAAAAATACTCGCCTCTTTGGAAATGTTCAAAACTTTTTATTCCACCTCAGAGTGACGGAATGATCCGTTTTTCTGCTAACGTTGGTTGTTCTAAGTCCAAAGTAATTTTCAAGTGACGAAAAACAAAAATAGAAAGGCTTTTCAGGAAGCAAACGTTCACACCTTGTGCATGTCAGAACTCTCTCAGTGACAAACAAGCACAGTCGAACACAGTCAACACACTGAAAAGTCCGCCTTGAGCCTGCGATAAGGGATGCACAGAAGTTTGCGCAGAACGTTTTTCCGCCCTGAAACCTAAATCAGACAGGCATTCTTCCCTATAAAGCCTGTTTAAGAAGAAAGAGGATGAACTTCATTAATCACTTTTTAGTTAGCAAAACGTGGACGCTGCATGTCTTGTTTTTAAAACATTTAGCGTGGCAAAATGTGTTTCAGCAATAAATATCATTCGATTAAATAGAAGGTTGCGTCCTTTTATCGGAAAGGATTGACGCTTGAATTACGTTAAAATCCTCTATACTTGGTTGTTGTTAACTGTTTAAGTTGAAATCAGTAGTGATATTAGATATTTCATCCATTTGTTTCACCTGCAATTTTCGTATCAGATTTTTACATTTTACTTTGAAATTCTTTTTTTCAAATTACCTTAGATATTGATGAATGTAGGACGGGGAAACATCTTTGTGATCAACGCTGCCATAACACCTTTGGCAGTTACCGCTGTTCATGTATTGCCGGCTACAAACTTGATGCTGATAACAGAACTTGTGATGGTAAGGGATGGCGTTAGACTTTTTTATTCAGCTTCAAATGCAAACAATGATAACCAGCTGAATGAAAAAAAGCAATCCATGCGGTAGTTGGTTATTACTGTACATACACGTGTGTTAGGTCACAAATCAAAATAGGGCTGGAAAAGCTAGTTTGATCAAACCCGAACGGAAACCTCCACCGGGCCAAATCCAAAGGTCGGCTCAAGAGATATGTCCAAGTTTGTACGCAGTTGCAAAAATTGCCCAAATTGGGGAAATCGCAAAATTTGCTGTTATTTCGAGTGTTAGAGGAGGTAGAAGGGTGAGGGCAAAAATTGCGATTTCTACGATTTTTCCGAAAATTGCAAAAGATTGACGAAATCGCAAAATTTGCTAAAATTAATTAATTCAAGTGTTTGAAGAGGTAAAAGACCAAAATGGCAAGTAAAGCGGAATGTTGTCGGACATGTTGCAAATTGGGTAATATCGGCAATCGAGTATTAACATCGATGGTAAAGAAAAATCGTCAGACTTTTCGCAATTTTCTGGACTTTAGTGATCATCAACATGACAAAGAACTGCGAAAAATGGCAAGTAACGCGAAAATTCGTCAGACTTGCGATTGTTCGCAATTTTTGCAACTGGCCTTCAATTGCCAACCTTGCGATATTTTGCGATTTTTCGCAGCGTGCAAACCTAAAAATAAGTGAATGTGTCATCAGATTCAGTGTCTGAATAACTTTGGTTTTGGGTGGATAATCTATCAGATTGATCAGAATCCTCTATGAAAACGTGTTCCTTGAGCAGCGGGACTGTTGACGTGTCTATTTGACTGTTTTTTAACAAAGCTTGTGTTAAAGAGTACCAGCAAGCGACAACTTTCAGGAGGCCTTCAGTTCCTGGCTATCGTTATCTAAAGAAACTCGAGGCATTAATGCGAATGCACAGTCAATCAGGAGAGCTATACACGGAGAATCATACACTAAACAAAAAGGGCAGATGTAATTACTGCCAATGCACAGATCAGAGTGGAAAGAACATGGAGATGGAACGTATTCCTCGTCCTTGGAGATGACGATGACTCTCCTCGGGACAATGATATTAACTTTTTGCCAAGTGCACAGGTCAAGTAACTGCTAAAGGTGAACTGCCCAGCTCTGGCGAAACCAAACTAGCAGAACTTAGTTAATATAGTAAGGAGTAAATATTTTCGAGGGCCACATTTTTTTTAGCCTTTAGCTATTTAGTGTTAACCTCGCTGAATAAAATGCTTTCTTACTGTGGCTATGAAAATTTACCGGAGGCAGCGTTGCCGAGTGGTTAGAGCGCTGGAATTGAGGCCCTCTTTAATCCCCGCGCTATAAACCGACTACGTTTCTAAATAGCCAATTGCTCAACTGATTGCTTAGCCACCGGCCAGCTGGGACTGACAAGGAAATTGTGGTGGAATGTATACTTCGTCCATTTCCAAGACAAAACAAAAAACAGAACAGAACGGCTTTGAGATGCTGTTGGTAGCAAGTGATATGTGAACCATCCTCGGAGACCCAGGGGCGGTCAGTCGGGCCGGGAGAAAAGGCGCGACTAAAGTTTTCAAGCACAGGCGGAAAAGGCCTGGGTACCAAACGGTCAGCAAATTCTGGCTCCTAATTGGGCACAAAAAATGCTTTGTATTATTGTGCCCAATCGGCGAACAGCATCTCCTGAGATCTTTTCGTGAGTTCGTACACAACCGCTAATGACTCGACCACGGCTTGTCTGGCTCATGCACCAAAGAAATGCAGGCAGTCAAGAAACTTTCAGTTTGATATAAACTCTCCATTTCAAATTACTGTCTACCCAAAAACTAAAGACGCTTTTCCAAAAATACAAGCTTGAACTTCCAATAGGTATTCACGATTGCATCGATCACGCCTTCGTAAATATTAGGGAGTTTAAGAGGCGGTCCGTGTAATAACCGACCACTCGAATTTCCGCGGAAAACAGAATTCCTTCATTTTCTTTTTTTCTGCGACATAATTAGTCCATTCCATTAACAAAAATCGAATTTGTTTGGCTCATAGTGCTTTTTAAGAAAAATTTGGGCGGCGATTTGCCTGGACGGTCCAAAGCTGCATGTCATGATCGTCTTTTTGAAGGTCAAATTTAAGCGTTTTGTTCAAGGCTCGCAAAAATTTCGCATTTATCCAAATAGCATAAAATAAAAATATGATTTTAATTCATGCTTCCTTTATTCAAAAAAGGCAAAATATTTAAATTCTGAGTTATGATGTTTTGAAAATACCACGCAAAGCGTCCTTGAAAAAATGCGCGGTTATCCTAGTTTTAAAATGAGCTTTTTTCAAAAGTCCTGACGTTATCTGGAGTCTTGGTCACTATCCCTGTTCAGTACTAGGGATAGTGTATTGAAATCAAGACAAACATTTTTGGGCACTGTTGATTCCGAAGCACAAGAGTTCGATAAAGTTGGGTAATATACTACTGTAATTGTGCGTATGATGTAATTTACGCATTTTCCTGATTCCGAACTTTCTTACTACAAAACTAGAAATCATCATTGTCAGGGAGCAATTATTTTCAAAACTAACTTAATGCTGGGGATAAACAGTGAATATCTTAAAATCCACTACATATTGTCCTTAAATTGGATTGTTACAAAAAAAAGTAGCAGCTCCCGTGAATGTTGCTATGTCAAGTTGTGTTTATTCAGTTAAGAAATTTCGCTAGAATGGTAAAAAAGTTAAAATACATTATGAATAGATTTACCGTGTAATTACCACCTCAAAAGTTATGACACGATTCAGCAAAGAAATAGTTTACAAAATGTACCGAATTTTCTAGCCACAAGTTTTTGTGTGCAGACGACATAATTTATGTTGTGTCTAAGGATGTCAATTTCAGATTTCAGTTTGCAGTGCAAAACATGTTGGGTGTTATTTTATCTAAACTGAAACTACTTGTGAGGCTTAACGAGTTAGAATAAACAAAGTACAAAAAACTGGCTACTTTTAAGAATAAAACTGTTTTGCTGGTTTACTATTTCTTCAAGTTTTAAATTTACTTTAAGTTAATTTTTCTGGCGTCGTTCACTTAATTTAATTTCGTATGCAAATTTGCAACACAAAACGAAGAGCGTATTTACATTGTTCCGAGATAACCTTCGCAGATAGAGTGGCTGTATTTTGTTCTTTTTTCGCAATAACAGGTAGAAAATGTGGAAGGAATCGAGGATGGGTAGATTTTGTGTGCTTGAATAGTTGCAACGCTGACATCAGCTCACACCTAATGAATCACCACCTGTCAAGGGAAAATGTTTGTGAAATGAATCTGATACTGGCAAGGGCAGGTCTGTTAGAACTCAGTAATGATCAGATCAAGAATATGACGGTTTGTCCAGTCCATCGCTACACTTTGGGAAAATACTGTCAAGCTCCAAAGACCTGCCAGCATCCAAAACATCACGGGAAGAAAATGGCAATAGCGAAACAGATGTTATTAATTTCAAGACTGCAAGGGAAATGAAAAATATCTTTGGAGAAGCCGTTCCCGTTGGCTCGCGTAAGTACTATCAGACTAGCAACTATAACTGCAACAGATTCTGAGCCTTTACGCTCATAGATACCCTATGACCAAACTTAAGAAAATTCACCAACCTTACGGAAGTCTCTCTTCATGGAATTCGAAATAAAGCAAGCACGTTCTCATGCTAAAATGCACGGCCGTGGGAACATCCCTGAAATCAAGACGAAGCATCGCGTACGCCTTGATATGGGGAAGGTCGACCACTTTGTAGACTTCATTAATAGAACGTATTTTTATTAGGATGTTTCATATGGCAACAAGGTACTCAACCTAGGTAATGGTGACACAATTGAGATCCCTAACGTTGTAACGTTGTAAGGATCCTCACCAGGTCTACAATGATTGAGCAATACTTGGAGTATTGCAAAGAGCAGTGTCACAAGCCACTTAGTAGGTCTTCTCTGTTTAAAATATTGGAGGTTCGCGAAGCGTCTCAGCGTAAATCGCTCCAGGGTTTAGACAATACGGCTGCACATGGTGCTGCGGGCTATCAGACTATCGAGACGCTGGTTGAAACTCTTGAGAAAGGAGGAATGGAAAAACAGTGGTGTCTACTTATTTGCCAAAACCTACGCGATGCTAAACGCTATCTCAAAACTGACTACCGGGTGCACTGTCAACAGCACTACTCTACTTGCGCTGACCACTGTAGAAAGTTTGCGCTTAGTGATCCTGTTGATCCCGAGCTACAGCGCCCTTGTCCGCGTCAGCATCAGTCGACTTGCGAGCAGTGCCAAGGGCTGAAGGATGTTCCAAAGGAAGTAAGACTAGCGATTGAAGGGTCATCGTGGAAGCCTTACAGTTCCGAACAACGAGAAGATGTCCTTTACGACTTTGATAGTGCACAGTCAGACATCTTGCTGTGGAAAGCGCACATTGTGCGCTCAATAAATCAGGAGGAGGCGAAACAAGATGTACTAAAATCAGAAGACCCACAGTCTGCCATTCTGATCATGGACTGGGTTGTGAAGTTCCTCAAAATAAAATTTCGTGAGAAACAGTCTGAATGGTTAGGCAAAAGGGGGCTGAGCTGGCATATTTCCACCCTTATAACTAAGAATGTTGACTCTGGAAAAATTGAGCTGAAATCGTATGTGCATATCTTCGACTCTTGCCAACAAGACTGGTACGTAGTATGCTCGATCATCGAAAACACACTTGAGGTAGTAAAGAAAAAACATCCCCAGATTACCCAAGTGAACCTAAGGAGTGACGAAGCAGGCTGTTACCACAATATCTTTCTCTTAGCCGCCGTTAGAGATGCCGGAAGACGAGTAGGCATGGAAGTACCACGGTATGACTTTTCCGAGCCGCATTATGGAAAAGATATCTGTGATAGAATCCTTTGTCCAATGAAATCATCCATCCGAAGATATTGCAATGAAGGACACGGTGTCGTTTCTGCCAAAGACATGCGTGTAGCGCTCTCAGAACGCCCTGTTCAAGGTACAACTGCCTCCGTGTGCGCAATAAATGAGACTCAAAAGACACTCGAAGTACATAAGATACAAGGTTTCAGCAAGTATCACAATTTCAAGTTTAAAGGGGAAGGAATTAGAGCATGGAGAGATTATGGTGTTGGACTGGGCAGGTTTATTCCTTACCGAGAAGTCATAACTGAACCTCAAGGTTCTACTGACCTTATTGTGCATGAGAACTTCTTTCCTCTCAAAGAAGCTCTAGCACATAAGAGAGAGACAAACAGTGAAAATGAGCAAAGCAACGGTCTTTTCTCTTGTTCTGAGCCCGGGTGCAACATGGTTTTCAAGAAATTCAGTGGACTCGAAAATCACCTTGATGTTGGTGAGCACAGCCAAGTTCGCCGAAACCTTGATACGGTGTATGACAAGCTCAGAAGAGACTGGGCGGAGAAATTTCGTACTGTTGATAAGGATGAAGAAAACAGAAACGTGCCTGTAGCAGTTGGAGAGGAGCTTCACGAAAAGAATGAAACTGGCAGATCCCCCCAGTGCAGTGACTTGTAGACTGGATGGGCTCTACAAAAGCACCGAAACGAAGCCGTGCGTTTTCCTACCGAGGTTAAACAGTACCTAACAACAAAATTTGACCTTGGAGAAAGAACTGGCATCAAGTCAGATCCCGCAAAAGTGGCAACAGATATGCGAACTGCAAGAAACCCAGATAGTTCTCGGATGTTTGAAAGGAAACATTGTCTCACAAAGGGTCAAGTACAGGGATTTTTTTCGAGGCTAGCGCCTCCGCGAAGAAGCAAAGCACATCGAGAAGCGCTCAATGAAGACGTACAGGCAGAAGAGGAAGAGCAGGAGAGAGGAGCCGTCCTGGAAGAGGTGGCCACCCACCTTGGTCCTAAGCATCCTATCTGCTATGATTCATACTGTTTATGTGACCTTTCACACGAGAAGAAACTTGAAACATTTAGCGTTGCTATGCTCAAGGACATGTTGAAATACTTTGAAATTCCTTTTAGTTCTTGCGATAGAAAAAAAAATGTTGTAGCGAACCTATCCGAATTTCTTGAAGGCTGTGTCTGTAACCAGCCGCATTAACGCACAAACCGCTATTATAGTAAGCAACAGGGTTTTTCAACCTCGAATTCCAAAAAATCGTGAAAACATTTATTTTTCAAAAACTTGAAAAGATGTTTTTTGACCTTTATACTTTTTGAAAAGTCGAATTAGAAAAGAACATGTTTTTTGTCAACCGTATTAGAAAAGTACGTACGCGTGACCAGCTAAAAAAACCCTGACATTCACGCGTAGCCAGCGTGACAGGAAATTAACACTCTTCAGATGATTTGACTTTCGGCTGCATTCTAAGGAGTGTTTTAATAAAAAGTGTAATTCTTGTAAACAGAACTCACTTTCGTCAAATACTGATATGCTTAACCTGAATGAAAAGCTTTTTCTTTCTTTGTTGATCATGAAAACCTACGTCCAATTCAATTGAATGAAATTTTGTAAACAGCTTTTTAGAAGTAAACTTAGACGACAACTTACGCCAGAATCGATAAGTTGGGCTATTAAGCTTCCTCATTTTTTATTTTCGTGTACCATTTGGCAATTTGTTAGTTATTCACAGTTTATCTCGAACAATGAAAGCTACTTTTTAATATATTTGCTCTCTCGGTATGATTTTCAGTGGGAAAGTTTGGAATTAACCAAATGCTTAAATTACGTCATGCGCACAATTACAGTAAAATATTACCCAACTTTGTCGAACTCTTGTGCTTCGGAATCAACAGTGCCCAAAAATGTTTTTCTTGATTTGGATACACTAGCCCTTGTACTGAACAGGGATAGTTACCAAGACTCCAGATAACGTCAGACTCATTTTAAAGCTAGGATAGCTCATTTTAAAACTAGGATAACAGCGCATTTTTTTGAAGGAGCCAAAATACAACCTAGACTAGATGTAACGAGGACGTAACAAGGACGTAACCAAGACTAGATGGACCTGGATGTAACCGAAGAAGCTCCTACAAAGCACTCGTATTTAAGCCCAAGCTAGCGAAACGATACAGATTACATCACAACTCAACGAGTCAAATTACAGAGCACAACAATCATTTCTACAAGACTATTGGTGGAAACCCTAGCTTGTTTTGAAACATTAATTACTTTCAAAAGCTACACAGGTGGATAACGGCTTCTTACAGGTTGATCACAGCTTGCAGACTAAATACAATTATGACTTGACAAATAAGTTTACGTTCAATAAATCAACAGTTTGTTTACGGCTTAAAGAAGTTAAGACTAAAGAATAAATGATTTCTACATTGGCTTTTCATATTTTCATCAGCGAAAGCAAAATAACTGAATAACAATAAATCCTCTCTTCACATTACACGGACCGCCTCTTAAGATGCCCCAACAGCCGACAGCCACAGTCTCAGTATTGTGATTATTTCAACTCGCTTACTTTGTCAAATGTAAGCGAACTCTTCTGGAGCTGAATTTCTATCAACCATATCCAAGTTCATAAAGAGAAAGAAAATTTTGTTATTTCTTGTTTACGTCCTTCACAAAACGTGAAATTAGGCATTTTCACGAGGTAGTCGTACAGTGACGACAAGGAAATGTACAAAAAAGCGTGATGCACGTGCAAAATTGTTGTTTCGTCCTGTCAAGAAATTGTCTTTTTTACTTTCTCGTCTTCCTATTATTTACGATACATTGTGATCTTCACAAACAGAATTTTCTCATTGCAAATTGAATTTCTCCTGCTGATAGCATCCGAAAGGTTTTTCGACTCATTGGTAGTTTCTTCGCTTCTGGTTAGAAAAGCTTGGTAAACGAACCCGGCAACTGTGGCGAGAAAATAGCCGTCTCGAACGAACTCACGAAATGCCGGAACTCAGGAGAAACTGTTCGTCGATTGGGCACAATAATGCAAAGCATTTTTTTGAGCCCAATCAGGAGACAGCATTCGCTTGACCGTTTGGAAATGGTCCGGTGAGAGTCGGTACCCAGGGGCTCTTCCGCCCATGCTTGAAAACTTTCGTCGCGCACTTTCTTCCGGCCCGACGACTGTCCCTGGGTCTCCGAGGATAGATGTGAATAGGACAATTTTAATCCTCAGCGGGATTGACAAATTTGAATAGGAAAGCAAAAACGAAATAAATTTTGGTAGTTGTATTCAAATGTCGTCATTGTAAAAATGGCCTATTTGGAAACAGAATTAGGAAAAGGAAGAGAGGGATACAAAAGTGCATATGGACTACGACTGGGCCAATTATATCGAGTCAAGAACTTTAATTTGCAGAAGAACTAGGCAATTACACTGACCTTCGTCATCTGTAATGTAAATACTTGACAAGAAAGACAAAGTTGAGTTGATAATTAACCCAGCATTACTGCTCAACAAGAAGACTGAAAGACAAGCAAGTGAAGCCACTCGGCGGACTCTAGTGATAAAAAAGACGAGATAGAAAGCGAAGATGATGGGAATTGTTTTAAATGAAATTGAGGAGGAGAAAGAATCAGCAAGCAAGCGAACAGGCTTCTTTCTTTCTTCTTTTGAATTCTCGAGCACTACTGCAGTGCGTGTCACACATTTGGCAACATAAAAATTCTCAAAAGAAGAAAGTAAATGAATTTGCTAGCTAAGCATTCGATACTTTAAGAAGGAGGATCAAAACAGGAAACACCCAATCCAGTAAAGGAAAAAATTCGAGGCCAATCGTGACAATCTCAACGGAGCAACAACGAAAGTAAATTAATCTCAAAAACAACTTACAAATACCTCAAACCAGTTGTGCTACATTTTGACTAACCTAACGTTGATGTGCTCAACTTAATAACGTAAGAAAACTGTAAATGCTGAGAACGCGTGACAAGCGCATGGTAAGACTTTTATTATATACTGTGCGCAGTTCTCAGAATTGAATATAGATTTACAGAACTGCAAGACAGCACGAAAGTGAATCTATGCTTTTTAATAAACATTATACGGGAATTTCTCAGCGTACGGAACACATCAAACCTGTGTGAAATACCGCGAAATAAGTGTAATAGACCTTAATCATGATACCCACCATTTTTGCAACCGCTTCAAGACTGATGGGATAAAAGCAATGTCACGTGGTTTCTTAGGGGACAAACAACTGATTGAGTCTGCCAATACAAGAAATCGTGGTCTAGTAGGTTTATTCGACAGGGTGTTTCAAACTAAGCTCGTTCCGATTGTAAATTGTATTTTGGCAAGGCATTAAATGCTTCTTTAGGCAAAGGTAAACTGATTCACGTAACAAATTTATCTAAATAACCTTTCAAAGCAATTTCAAACTAAAATTTGAAGAAATTATAAAATTTTTGAAGTTTTGCCCCAGATATGCAAGTACGCGAGTTTTTTCCCGTCATATTTTTCCTGCCCATTTTGTAGGTTTTCTTTTTTTCGTTTTTTCGCCGCTTTCTTTTATTTTCTCTACTACTACATGAAAATCAAGGCCTACACTGTTTGTGCTATAGAGCTCTAGAGCTCAGGCATCTGTTTTTACGGTCTTCTGTCCATTCAGCAAAGAAATTGGTAAACTGTTGATAAAGGCTGAACGACATAAGTGAGCAAAGACTTAAGAAGACATACCAAGGAGTGGATGGCCTTTTGTTTTTTTTAATGTGTAAGAAATGTTATCTTAAAAGCTGTAAGTATATGTGTAATAATTCTACAAGACAGAAAGGTATTAAAAAATTCAACTTCACAATGTCAAAGTTTCGAGCATAACGCGGGTATGAAGATATATGACCAAACAAGGTTGGAAAGCCTTGAAGAGACATGAAAAGGCGGCGACATGCAGACATGGTGTGACAAGGATTTGCAAACTTTATAGCCAACACCGGCTGGCAAACTCACGCGATGTGAACCTCCCTAGAGACCATCTGGATTATCGTTGACGAGACAACTTACAAAGATCCAGTCCAAAAAACACCGGACGAGCTAAGACAGTGACTGCGCTTCGTCTAGAAATGTGTCTTTAGACACGCTTTGGGTGCTCGTACATTCTATACCTCACCACTTAGAAATGTCAGAAGACATAAACGGAGAAATTCTGGTTACAAATTTTTCAGTTATTCGGCAATATTAAATGAATAATAAATAACATTATGTTCTGAACTATTAATGAAATGTAATGTATTCACATAATGAAACTTGAATAAGAACATTATTTTGAATATTCATTCAATCATTCAGTTCTCAACGGTCGAACTAAGGGCCTGTTTTCAAGGAGCTGGGGGACCCCAGTTAGGTGAAGTAACCCGTTCAGGTGGGCTAACCCGCCTGTCCATTTAATCTCTCATTTGCGCTGGAAACTTTGACGGATACAAGAAATATTCAATTAAAGGAAGCGATGGGCTGGTCCGCTCCGCTCTTGTAAAGACGTCACAAGGAGTGTTCCGTCGACCAATCCCCGTACCTCACA